TGTCTTCCCCCCGCTTTGTCTTCTGCCCCTTCACCACCCCCCTTTTTCTCTATGTGTGAGGGTGCTCAGAGCTGGAGCAAGTTGCCCAGAGAGGTTGTGGAATCACTGTCTGTGGAGATACTCAAAACTTGACACAGTCCTGGACAGACTGCTGCAGCTGAATCTGCTTGAGCAGGGGTGTTGGAATAGATGATCTCAAGAGGTCCATTCCAACCTCAGCAATTCTGTGATTCTGTGAAATCTTGAAAACTGTTATCCTTAGTTTCCGAACCTGATTTATTTTCTGTTGGAGTCTTGTGTAATGAATAAAACTTTCTACTTCAAACAGTTTTAGGAAACCCAAAAAACCCCTTAGCATTACTGGATTTAAAGAAATTGCTAATCAGGCAAGAGCAGCCATCTGATACCTTTTATTTTTAACAGCCTCAAGATATTCCAGATGGACACCGTGCACCACCTCCGTTGGTTCAGCGTAGTAGTAGTACTCGCAGCATTGATACCCAAACGCCTGGTGGAGCAGACAGGGGTAGTAACAACAGCAGCCGTTCCCAGTCTGTATCTCCAACCTCATTTCTTACCATCTCTAATGAAGGCATTGAAGAAAGTCCATGTTCTACAGATGATCTTCTTGCTGATTCCAGAGATAAAGGTACTGTGTAACTTTATAAGTTCAACAAAGCTAAATTTTAACTCATTGCTATGTGCATGAATACATAGTAAAAGAGGTTTGTTTCCCCCATCCGTGGAGAAATGGTGGAACATTTTTTTCTTTGTAAGTGATCTGTGTTTTCCAAATTGCTCCAAAGACTCTGTGTGCAGACATATCTAGTACTCTATAATTGAAGCTGTATAGATGTTTGGGAAGCACATTCCTCTGTCACAAGTGTTTGTTTTTAAATAATAGATTCTTCAAATAGATTCTTTTAAGCAAGTTGAAGAAACAAGAGTGTACAGGGACAGGTGGAACAGCAAAATAGGCTAGTCCTGTTGCTTGTACCAGGTATTTTTTATGATCTCAGACAAAATGGGCAACCTTCCAGCATTTCATATATGCACCTGTAAAAGTTTAACTGAGTTTTTTAATTATTCTTTTTTACCAGAAATCTTCTGAGATATACTAAGAGATTTTTATCATTCAACATAAACCTGTCCTGGTTTTTAAGGAATATGGCTTCTGCCCATTTCTTTTCACTAGATGGTGGCGGCACAGGACCATAGATTTAAGGTTTGCAGTTACAAACTGAAAGTGTCCAGGAATGAACAGAGATTGCAGAGGAGCCTGAAAATGATACAAGGAGAAATAGGAAGGAGGAAAGGAATAGAGATAAGAAAGCTTATTTGCAAATGATGACTTGGGGGCGAATGAGAATGTTTCTTAATTTTATAACACTGGTAATGAAGTGGGTTTCAATTTGGGAGGCATTTGAAGATAGTTAGTAGTTTGTTTTTTTTTATAGTGTGACACATTTTAAGTAATGAGATACTCTGTTTCTGCAGAGAATGGGAATAATTCTCCCTTGCCAAAATATGCTACCTCACCAAAACCCAACAACAGCTACATGTTCAAGCGTGAACCTCCAGAGGGCTGTGAAAAGGTGAAAGTCTTTGAGGAGAGCTTGTAAGTTCATCTTTGCTACATAAGAAATAACATTCAACATTCAGAGTTACCCATTGGTTTATTGATTTTGTGTCAGATCAAGATTATTAGTCCAGTTGCTAAAAGCATGCCTGATCTCTGTTGTTTTGTGTGGCTATATACTGATACATATGTCTGTATTTTATTGCTGATATTTGTGTTAAAATCAAAAGCTTGAGAGACTTTTTTTTTTTTTTTTTAAAGTCAGCATAACGTGAGAGGACTGTCTCTTACATGGCAGGTAGTGGGGGAGGAACTGAAATAGTCAGGTACAGAGAGATGTAATAAGCAACTGTAATGCAGGTGCATCAACTAATGTATGTCAGAGCTCAACAGGCACATCCAGTAGTCTAGCTAGACTCTGAAGACCATATTGCTTACTGCTAAATCTATGTAGTTGTGAAACTTCTAGTGACATGGAAGTGAATTTGACCCTGAGTATTTGATGCTTTGATTATTCTGAAAAAGCCAAATTTTGTCATTTGGGAATGTTCTGGGGGTTTTATGTTTTATTATTATTTTCAGTGGAGTTTTTATACCCTTATGTCACTGTCATGCAAGAATCTTAAGCTATAGTTAAAAACTTCCATTTCATCACACAAGGAGTACAGTTTAATTATAATTCTCTTATGCCATTGTCTTATGCCATTCTCAACAATGCCATCTAGTATAAGTAGTAATTAAAAAAATTATAGCTGCCTTTGTGTGTTTTCCATCTCTGATCTCTGCAAATGGATTTTGAGAGGTCTCTATGGCCTCTCCATAGCAATATAGAAAGGTCACAGTAACTTAAGTTACCTGTCTCTATTTTAGAGTGTGTAAGCTATGTTTCCAACAGATTAAATAGTCATCACTTGCTCCAAGAATATATTCTGTTGTGATTTGACTTGCATTTGCACTTGTTTTCAGATGTCCTTGCTGCATAGCTGTAGGACTGTTCTGCTGTAGAGTGAAACAGGCTTCTACAGAAGTTTTTACCTAGCTATGGCAGTTCTAAGACACTGCAGTCTCATGCAAAAATCTCGCATCTGGTACTTGCTTTTCACACGTATGTGGAATACATGAGTGTAACTAAAGCTCAGCCTTTGTTTAACATCATATCTATTTGAAGTTTACAGGATTTTCATTTGGGAGAAAAACTGGGAAAAAGATGGGGCTGAATTTTCTGGACACTTGGAGAATCAGCTAACATGGAAATGTACCCTCTTTCATGAACAGAATTACTTTTCAGAGTAGAGTATCTCCTACGGAAGTATACTGAAAGATTGGCTTGCTTGGCCTAGTAGAGTGAAGACAGAAGTGCATACAGCTGTCTTACAAACACATGGAAGAGAGGGGGCGGTTACATGCTAAAGGACAATTCTGGCAACAAGAAAAAATGAGTGTAAATTTCTGCTGGTTATTTTCCAGCCACAGATTCCCATAGTTTTGTTTTAAAGTAGAGTTAGACTACCTTAGTAGGTTTACATTGCAGAGTTAGAGATAGACACAGCATGCATTCCTCTGCTCTCCACCATTTCTCTTCCACCTCTGTTTTTCATAAAGCATGTCTCTGAGTTGGTTGAATTATATGCTGAGATGGCAAAACTGCAAGTCAGGATCTAAATGTGTGTTCCGCACTTCCTTCCCAGGTTATAGGTACTTGCTCATGAATGCCACATTTTACTCTCTGCATTGAGTTTTTAAGTAAGATGGGCTCATCTTTTACAGAGATTCAGGCCACACTCAGGTGAACGTACAAAGGAGGCAAAAGTCTAGAAAAGGGGATCCCCCTACAATCACGAACAGCTCTAAGATATGCAATATTAGGAACATTGCTATGCCAGCTTTCTTTCACAAGGCTTGCTGTGTGAAGAGTCTCTGTGTATGGGGCAGAACATGATCAAGAATACTTTCTCCTATATTGGATAAGCCAATTCATGGACAGGGTTTGTGATCTGCAATGTGAAGTTAGTGTCCTCCTTGGGTTTGGAGACAGCCTGCACTGAGAACATGCTGTTTATCTCGTAGTATGTGTAAACAAGCAGTTTAAACCATCTTGGCATTTGCCGTGTGGTGCGACTGTCATTAAGGCATTGTTGAGTAGCTGAAATACTTCCAAGTTTAAACCTCAACTTGTCTCTGGTGATGTGTTCAGCAATATATACCTGTTGTTGGCAGAATTTGATTGTTCAATGCAATTTTAAAACTATTGTGTGTATTTTATTTCTAGGCCAAAGCCATTGCATGAAATTCCAGCCTTCTACTGCCCTGACAAGAACAAAGTGAATTTCATTCCTAAAAGTGGCTCTGCTTTCTGTCTTGTTAGCATCCTCAAGCCACTTCTTCCCACACAGGATCTCACACTTAAGGGCACTACACACAGCCTGACTGTACCCTCTGGCATGACACCCAGTTTGTTACAGCCCATTTCTATGGCCTCCTTGTCTACAAACACAGATCAAGACAGGATCTCTCGTGGAACAAGTACGGTAATACCACAGACCTCTATACTCCAGCAACCGGGACGTATTGAGGAAGCTGAAGGATAGATTTAGATTGTCTTGACATTTTTCTGGGCAACTACTGGGAAAAAATTGGAACTGATTGACTGGACCTTTCTGTTCACACTATTTGCATTGTTTTAACAATTTATGGCACTGTCATAATTGAACTGTTTGTATAATTGACAGTTTGGTAGCACATTGAGAATTTCAGGAGGACGCAGCAGCTGATACTCAGTTGCACTTTCTGCTTATGAAGACTCCGCTTCTGTTTCTCTGCTGCTTTTTTAAACACTGGTGAAAACAAAGACTGTCATAATCCTTTGCCATTTAAAGGACCAGTTGTTGTGATGCTGCGTGTCCTTTGACTTTTTTTTCCCATTAAAACAAAATTCTCAAGACCAACTAGCTGATCACATTTAGCATTGTAATGTGCAGAGGGAGGGGCAATTAGATGGTTTTGCAAGATGTCTTTTGTATGAAAATATGTATTTTGTAAAAAAAAAATAAATAAAAAATTTGCCTTTTCTGGGGCGTAGCAGATGGTGTTTAGAAGACAGTTTCCTGGTGACCACCCCCCCCCCCCTCTTTTTTTTTTTTGTAGGGAAGATTCTTTTTTACTTGGCTGTTTTACAGCTGCTGGGACCAAAGGATTGTTGAAGTATTTCAGCAGTCTCAAATTATGTGACCTTACTGAACAGCCTCAGCCCTAAACATAATAAGACAAGTTAATACATTTGAAACTTTTAAAACAGAAGAGTATCCAAAAAGCCGTGTTAGTATATAGCGTACATTTTTTGATATTGGAAGTTTGTGCTTCAGGTATGTCACATTCTTAAAACTCCTTCCTTCACAGAATTCCCACCAGTGTTGGTTTATTGGCTGGAAAATTGCATTTTAAAGCACTTGCCCCAGTATTGTTCTATTTGTCCATAGGATTTTTGTGCAGGGGTGGGGAAAAAACATGTTATCCTCTTAGTTGGTATTCTTTCTTCCAGCAAATATGCCACTTGCCTCTTACAGGCTTACTTGGCTACTTACAGAGTTAGTCAGCCTGAATCATTAATCACTTTTGGCACAAATTTGCTCTGATGTGACTCATCACTGTATTATAGACCCTGGCCACATAATACGGAAATATCTGTGCATGGTTTCCTCCCTTTTGTCATAGTGGTGTTTTGTGTGTCTGTTGAAGGTGATGGTTTGTCAAGCATGGTGTCTGTTACACAGAAGTTTACAGCAGCAGATACATTCTCCCTTTTTGAACAGCAACTTAGGCTGGCATGTAAAACAGAGGATTTTTTTGATACCTCCTCTGTCCTCTGTCCTGATATGCATCACTTTATGGTTCCTTTGAAATTATAATAAAAGATGAAAATGGAGGGCAAGGTAATTGCAAACGGAAACTGTTCAGGGACGTCAGTGAGGTTTCTCATTGCTTGGGTTTGAGTAAATACAGTATAGATATGCAAAAAACTGCAGTGACCTGAATACCAGTGTTGTATCAACTTACAAAACAAGTTGACCTTGTACCTCTTTTACAGAACTAGGTTCAGTAATTTCAAAGGAAGTGTCTGTGTGGACAGTCTCTGGGTCTGTTACACATGAGCAGTTCTCACTGGCTTGCATATACCTAGCTTCCATGGATCAGTTGCATATTCAGGTCCCCTCATAACTGCATCTATTTAAAGATGATACTGCAAATAAAACAATTTTGTTCCATGCTAAATTTGGTTGCAGACATTTCACTTGGGAGAAAAAAAAAAAGCAACCCTGCATACCTGTGCAGATATTAGTCATAGTTTTGTTGCACATTTACTGTTCCTTTAAATCCTACATAAATAACTATGATAGCAATGTACTTTGCTCAGCAAGTAAGTGTAAATCACACTAGCATGTGCAATCCTGTGTTCATAGTATCATGAACCCCTTTCTAAAACATGATGCAAAAATTCAGCAAATGAAAAATGTCCCAGGAACTGTTAAAATATTAGACCTATTAAATTAGCAGACAAGCAGAATTTGGTTTACTATCTTTCTTCCCATCAAAATAGATAGGATTGTGCAGATGGGACTAGAGGACTTTGCTTTGAAGTAACAGCTCTGATTTACACTGAAAAAGTTGTTGTGGGACAGAGTTTTAAAATAAGTGACTTTGTGGATCAAATTTGAGCGATTTGGCCAGTTGATAATCCTTTTCTAGGTTTTGTGGATATTAATTAGTTTCTTCTGAAACAGTTGCAGTGCAATTTGAAGTCTGAATGTTACTGCTTTAGACAGGTTTGTTTAAACCTGGTATGACTGGATTCATGGAAGATCAGATCATTCAGGTGAAAGAAGTGCTTGCAAGTCGGTTTTCTGTTTCTGTAACAGTAGCATGTAAAGAGCTTGTCCATCAATGCCAATCTGCCTAGTGCTTTATCAGGAGATCTTAACTGAATGGTTAAGAACCAAAGGGCTAAAGTTAACAAATAGCCTTTATTACAGCCTTGAGACTTAACTGACTTCATCAAAACTGCATTCTGATGTTTGTTTTCATCAGAGTGACTCTCCCAAATAGCAGTGGGCCTTCTTACACTAGGACTTTCTTTTGCACCAGTTGTTGTAGTACTTTAGCATCTCTTTGGTAGTTTATATTGTATGTTATTGGACAATGTACTGTACAAATTAGTGAGCTGCTCTGACAAAAACCAAATGTAAGTGTGTGGGGGTTTTGCTTTTTATAAAAACAAACGGCATTCAGGACAACATTCAGTCTTTTTTTTATATGCAGAACAACTCTACTGTTGCTGTGGCAGCTTTACTTTATTATGAATCCACACTAAAGACTCAGAATCAAGAAAATATGAGAACTCTTACATGAGACCAACTTTTACTTGTGTGCATACAAAAATTAGCCTTAAACCTTTTATGTGCTGTCTTGTGCCATAGCAGAGCTGTTAGATGAAGTATTTAAATCAATTTCAAAATAGCTTTGAGAATACATGGAGCTTTTTAAAAATTCTTTCATGTATAGAGCACTCAGTTTTTTGAGGGGTTGGCCCATGCATTACTCAAGCACAGTTTTACTGAAAGAGTTCAAGTTGTTTCAGCGTACTTTAAATCCTAACTATGCATAGTCCTAGTCAGTTCCTTGATTGCCTACTTTGTAGCTTAAGAAAAATTAAAAGTCGTTTTTTATGCACAGCTTGACACACTTGATATTCTTGTTTTCTTGGTATTTTATGCTTCTAGCCACACTGAAAGGCTGGTGGCCATGTTCAGTAACACTGACAGTTGATTTTGAGATACACCAAATGGTGTTCCTCCAGTTGTAAATTCTACATGTCACAAGGGAGGAGGTCATTGTTGTAATGAAGGTCTGTGGTGGCAGCTATGACTATTGGAATCCTTTTTTTAAAAACTCAAGGCACAAGGGAAGAGGATTTCTTTGTTAAAGTTTGACCTGTTTCAGTATTCTTTCCTTTCTTGGTGCCATAATCCTGTAACAACAAATTTAAATACTTGGAAAAGTGACAGATAATGCTTGAGTACATACAGCTTGGAAAGAAATTCTTGGTTGCACATACACATCCCAAGTGAAGAAAAAAGGAAGGGAAAACTAAATATTGCATACTGTGGAAGTAAATGATTGCTGTGTTTGATTTATGTAAAGCAATAGCAGCTCTTAAAAAGTATGTTTATTCTCAGGGCTATTTTTTGGTTTGTTCTAAAGTACAATTTACTGTAATTCAGAATCTGAGATTGTTGGAAAACACTGAAGCTGAGCCTTTTGGAAAGAAACAAAGTCATATCCATTAACCTTTCTTCTGCCTTAGGCCTAGCTTCTTGCTGCTTGTTGAGTGTAATAGAATTCAGTGGTACAGCAATAATTCCTTGCTGAAGTATTATCTGTTCTCTCCCTGCCATCTCTGAAATGCTAACTAATGTCTTCACAGTAACTCACTCCCAGTGATGTCTGTATTTCCTTGCTGAGTACCTGACAGCTTCTCTGTGAAACTGAAAGGGCGAAGGAGATTGCACAGAAAGTCACCAGAGACTTGCTGTTACAAAGATCAGTGCTGCAGAGTGGCTTCTTAGGTATCTTGATTTCCATTTGACTTATAGTGTACGTGCACGCATACAGTCTGCGTAGATCTGCTGCTTATCTTTATGGTTTGAGGCAGGACTGGTATTTGTAAGAATTATTTATTTTTTTTAATGGAGAGACTTGCAGACCTGTTCTGATCCGGAACTGATGTGCCCTTACATGTATCTCCAAAGCAAAACTTGTGTGTCATTCTTACTTGTTCTTATGAAATGAATATAATTTGCAAAAAAGACCCTTGACATAAATGCATCCAAACACTTGAGAATGTCAGGACTGTGCTTTCTCCATCTAATTCCGTAGTTTAAGTATGTGCCCTTCATCAAATGTCATAGCCTAAAGATGTTGCTATGGCTTAGACCCAAACCAGGTTGGCATGTATTAAAACAAAAATGTTCACTGTTAGAAAAGGTAATAGAAGGTATGCCTTTCCTATCCTAGGGAGGTGAAAAGCACTGTGGAAGAATTGGTTTCATTGTGATCAAAGAGTTCTTATGGAGTTGTTTTTCTGAACCTGGGTATGCAGGAAGACAAAATGACTACTAATTGCGAGATGTACCTGTATATTTTCTTGACATGAGTTTGTGAGTATTCAGCAACTCTGAAAAACAGTTCTGCTTTTAGCATTTTGTTCATACAAAGAATGACCTAGATGCATTGAAACTGTTACTTCGCACATCAAGCGGAGAGAGAATGTTAACTATTCACAAGTGTTTTGTGAAATTCCAGTCCTGTACCCCAACTGAGCTGCAACAGTCTCTTTCTGAATGCTCCAAATGTAAATGGAGTCTGGTTACTGCTTGCTTGATTTCATTGCATGTCATCAGTAAATCCTTAAGGTATGGTCTTTGTTGAATAGTTCTTCATTGGGATTTGTATTTGACTACAGACACTTCTGTAGTGTTGACAGGTCGGTCTGAGTTGCGGAAGAGGGCTTGGCCTGTTAACACTATAAGTTAACGTTTCTTCCACAAATTCCTTTTGAAGCAACTCTCTTTGGAAAATCTAGTAAGCTAAAAAAAAACCGAAAAACCTTTCTTGACACCTCATCCACCCTAATTGTCAATGTACTTATAGTTAAAGAAGAATAGTGCTTGGTTTTATTCTAAATTATTTCATTTATTGAAATGTGCAATTTTTGAGGGTAGCAGTCAAGGGATGTCCAAAACTGCCATTAGATTTGCCTTTGTGTGAAA